TACCATATAGGTGTGAAAACATTAGATAATTAAAAGTGGATATGGATATCTTCCAATGGAGCAACACATGAGTCAGACAGCCTGTTCCATCAGCCAAGTACATCCCCTAATAAAGAGACTGAGGATCCATTCTGGAGAGCGGAGGCCCATTGTGTTTGAGACATAATGTCCTGTTACTTTCCTTGGTAGGCTACAGAGGCAGTCTCAGTTCATTTAGATTTAACATCTCAGATGCCTCTCAGTGCACACAGAGGGAAAAAGAGGTCTACTGGGTTTAGCACACACAATTACTCCGTCTGCGATGGATGTCATCCATTCCACTGCCTAGTTGTGCTCATCAAGCTTGATTTCCCATTCTCATGTTTTCTGGCCCCTTATACTTTTCCATGGCCAATAAAGCATTAGGGAAAAGGGATTTGAATGGGAAAAGTTTATTTCCATCACTACATTTTACAAATGCCATGCTCATTTTATTTTGTTATAAAAGTGATACATTTTGTTGTCATCCATCTATCTATTCGGGTGTGAATTTCAGCGAAGTAATTAACATTCAGTACATTCTATTCCAATTAGGATGTCTGGTATCCTCTTGCTTTCCACTGTAGTCTACGGCGCCACTGGTTTTTCCCCTCTGGCTAAGACCTTTTCAAGATTGTCATGTAATAGAATGATGGGCTGGTTCAATCGAATGAAACAACTTTTCATAGGCACAGAATGTGGTGACTAAACGGAATGGCTGCCAATGTGTTCTGGAAGGTCAAGGTCACTATTAGTTAGGATTCAAATCTTTACACTCTCTTTCATGCACTGCACTTTGTTAAAATGTGACAAAAAGTAGCCTTTTCCAAGAAAACCATAACTGTGCATATAAAAATCTACCAACCACTTTGTAAAAAATATTCAGTAGATTCAGGGCGTTCTTCAGGATGTTAAAGGCACACTAGAAGGCAGCGAGTTTGAAGAGCCTTTTGTCTTGACGTTTCTAAAGAAATTGTTAAAATGCAGACATGCAGTCAAAACTGCAACATGTTTCGGCACAGCTCGTTTTGTCACAGGGCCTTCATCTGTTACCTTTTCCTTTCTACATAAAGGGGCTTGAATAAAGAGAGGCTATTATTCAGAAGGATTAATATACAGCTTTGAGAGAACACAAAGTCTGAATATCTTAGAGGAAGCACTCTGGCTGTCGTTAATGGCTGGAGATGGTGGAGTAGATTGAAATTCTGTTTTGATTCTATGGTGATGACGTTAATGTTGAATGATTGTTAGAAGGCAGGAGGAATGCTAACTTTGATAACCCACTCATTTTCAGAGGTCACAGAAAAACCTCACCTTTGATTTATCTTGGCCAGACGTGGGCAGTAAAATGGGAACATTCGTTCAGTCAAGCCCCATTAGCAGATTAACTACATTTACCGGAGGTACTAAAGGCAAGGAAAAGCATGGTGGCAATATACATTTACAGTAGTAATAACAACTGAGACAGGTGTGTAGAGAGGCTTTCAGTGAAGCTCACCTCTGAGAAAAAAATGCTTCTCTTACTTCTCACTGCTTCTGTTGTCATCATTGTGATATCAGTTATAAACGGTTTTTGTTCATATCAGGAACAGAGTTGTTCCTTATCCATAGAGGTCTGGCTTGAATGTTCTTAGACAAGTGTGACATGTACTTATACCTCATTAACAGATAAATACGTTTTGGTTGGGCAATTCCAACGTAACAGAATGATGCTGACACACATTTCTGTCACTTTAAAAGTTATGTCAAACAAAAAACTATGATTGCATAGTTAAACAAACCATACAACTCTATACACAAGGATGACTTTTAACAATTTCCACTGAAAGTTTTACAAAAGCACTTGAAGAACTTTTCTTTACTTGAAGAACAATGCAGATACAAAATTTGGTAACTGAATAACGGCACAAACAGCACAAACCGTCATTCTGTTACTAAACTTTGCATCTGTACTGTTCTTCAGGTAAACGTGTTTTTGTAGTGTTCAGTGGAAATTGTTAAAAGTAGTCCTTCCTTGTACATAGTTGTATGGTTTGTATAAATTTTTAATAATTGGTTTTTGTTTGACATACACTACCGTTCAAAAGTTTGGGGTCACATAGAAATGTCAAATTTGTTTGTCCATTAAAAGAACATAAAATTGATCAGAAATACAGTGTAGACATTGTTAATGTTGGAAACGGCTATCGTAGCTGGAAACGGCAGATTTTTTATGGAATATATACATAGGCGTACAGAGGCCCATTTATCAGCAACCATCAGTCCTGTGTTCCAATGGCACGTTGTGTTTGCTAATCCAAGTTCATCATTTTAAAAGGCTAATTGATCATTAGAAAACCCTTTTGCAACTATGTTAGCACAGCTGAAAACTGTTGTGCTGATTATAGAAGCAATAAAACTGGCCTTCTTGAGACTAGTTGAGTATCTGGAGCATCAGCAATTGTGGGTTCGATTACAGGCTCAAAATGGCCAGAAACAAATAATTGTCTTCTGAAACTCGTCAGTCTATTCTTGTTCTGAGAAATGAAGGATATTCCATGCGAGAAATTGCCAAGAAACTGAAGATCTTGTACAATGCTGTGTACTACTCCCTTCACAGAACAGCGCAAACGGACTCTAACCAGAATAGAAAGAGGAGTGGGAGGCCCCGGTGCACAACTGAGCAAGAGGACAAATACATTAGAGTGTCTAGCTTGAGAAACAGACGCCTCACAGGTCCTCAACTGGCAGCTTCATTAAATAGTACCCGCAAAACACCAGTCTCAACGTTAACAGTGAAGAGGCGACTCCAGGATGCTGACCTTCTAGGCAGAGTTGCAAAGAAAAAGCCATATCTCAGACTGGCCAATGAAAATAAAAGATTAAGATGGGCAGTCTGAGATAAGGCTTTTTCTTTGCATTATTCTCAGCATTTCTCAGCATCATTCTGTTGTTGTGGAATTGCCAGTTTCTTCTGTATAGTGTCAGGTCCAGAGCAAAGAGTTGAGCTCTTACATCCATAGAATGGGGCCTAAATGTTGGTGATGAGATTGTGATTATTGATCAAACCTCCCTCTCTCCTGTTATGACATGTGTGGGGGGTAATATAAGCGTTACTGGACACCTTGTCCTGAGATTTAAAGTTAAACAATAAATGTTGAGCCTGTCACCATCAGGGACCCCATGGCAGCAACGATTGCACTTTTCAATAAAGCACTGTATAATGACAGCCCCCCCCCCCATTCCAAAATGACGAAAGTCCAATACAGCCAACTTGCTTTTAGCGTGAGTTGCTTATGCAGTAAGGAGAAAATTCAGAACTTTGAACTTTTTCATTTGAATAGTGAAAGATTGTTTGGATGCACTGTGCTTTATTCTCTCAGTGAAAGCTGCTCATCCAGACGTGTTATCATTAAAGTATTTTATCACCAATCTACTGTATCTGGATGGTGATACTCTGAGTAACAAAGAAGGAAGATTCAGAACACGTCAGACAGTTTTATTATTTTGTCTATATTTGTGGCTTATCCTTATGCTGCAAAAATACTGATTTATCTTTCTGGGGAGAGGAAGAGGAGAGCGACGATAAAGGACAAAGGTGGGATTCCACGGGAATATTGGCCATCCATAGACAACACAGCAGTCTGTGTCTCATTTGCCTCAGGACAGTTGTAACCAACCTATTGTAACTTTGCTGCTCCGCGTTTCACCCAGGAGAATGTTTATGATTTGAAAAAGGGCCTGTTGTGCCAAAAGAGGGTTGTACGAATACATCATGAGTATTAGCAGTGTCGGAGTTACCGTGCGTGAATGCATACGGCTGAGTTAGATTTGATACCAACTGTCTGCTAAAGTTTTTGGTTGGCTGAGTGGGCTGACATTTAAAACCTTCAGTTTTCTTATTTTTCTGCCTTGGTGCTGAAATAATGGGCATTGTGGAAGTTTAAATGCTGTTCTGTAGATCCACCGAGTTGCTGTTACTAATGATGAATGGGGATATTTACTGACTCTGAGGGAGTGTGCATACTGATACAACTAGTACACGGTATTCACTGGCAACTCCAGCCAGCTGTATAAGTAAAGATATCAGTATGAATACTGAGTGAGAGACATTTTAATGGAAAACCCTGTACTGTGAAAAGCTGTGGAGAGAGAAGGCCAGGAAACAGAATAAAACAACATCAACTTGCCATGAAAAGCAAAATCTTTTATCCTCAATGTGGGAAACAGAAGGAAATGCTCTCTCTGGCTGTGGAGAAAGGGATTGGGAAGTGTTGTTGTCACCATGCTGACTATTCCTGTGGGTTTTAGTGTCACATGTTATTTAGCAGATGGAGTCGCCTGTTTGGTGCGTCAATTCAAAACAGACATCCTGTCAGTCCAATAGAGCTGTTTGGCAGGCTACCACACAGGGGGTCCCTTATGCCTCTGCTTTACTATTTCAGCTTTCATTTGAACCCTAGTATTCACACTGTAAAGTGTTGCTGAGAGAACGTATTGAAAGAGAGAACAGTGAGATGACAGACCTGTTCTAGTAGCTAAGGCAATCAATATGATGGGCCGACTTCACACTTGTCACTCTGGACGCAGCAATTAAGAGCCGTCAGTTTTATCAGGAAAAGAGTTTGGATATCATTCATTACAGTACTTCACTCTGCACCTCTAATGAGCATCCCCCTGAGAAATGCTTCTCATACTTTACTCTTTTCAAAAGATGCATCATTTATTAGACTTACCCTGAGCAGCTTTCCTCCAAATGCTTTTCGGAAAGTTTTAGAGTATCATTAATCCAACACCTTTGACTCTGTAGTCAGCAGGCTCTTATAACTTAACTGTTGACTTGATTTTATAGTCCACATTTTTATTTTATTTTGGATTAAACAAATAAACTACACCTCTGAAAAATAAAAGCTGCATTTGAAAAAACATTGAGAGCAATGCATTGACTATAGTTCAATGAGATAGTTACACTATAGTTGTCACCCTTGTGCCATGGTAAGAGGCTGCAATGACAATGAGTTACAGACTTTTGACAGATGGGTTAATGGTATCATTGAGGGTTTTGATAGGGAGTGGCTAATCTCAGTGGTTTAGGGCCCACATCACAAAAAAACCCTGAAACAAAATTGTATTTATTATTTTTGTTGTCTTTGTGTGAAATTCAGCCAAACACAATGGCAGACATCCAGAGAGAGTAGCACCATATTTATTTTCTAATTCATCTGTGTTTGTTTTGTTCCACCACTATGCCACTGCTGTAGTCTGTCTGTGCATGGATCCAGCTTTAGATTCATTAATATGACCAATTGTTTGTTTGTCTGTTTATCTTCAAAAATGCCTTTCTGGACTTGTTGTTTGCAAAAACAGACTGAACATTAGGCATGCAATTAAAATGATAATTTGGGAAACTGTCTTGCATTCAAATGTAAGTATTCTATTCTCACGAGGTAGCCTACACTCTCCCCGATAAACATTAGAAACCTATTTGATCAAGATTCACAGCCACAATTTGTACAAGATATGGTACACACCGTGATACAAAAGGCCTGTTCACAATGTCATGTCACTTTAGGTCTCTCAGAGAGATGGAACGCACTTACAAACATACAATCCACCAGGAGTAAGTTCGTAGAACTGCCTGCGTATGACCGAACACCTCAATTTAACTTCCCACTGACTACAACAAAAATGATGTCATCATTCAACCAGCAGTAATGAAAAAGCTGACAATAGAGCTAAACATAGGAGATTTAATTGGCATAAGTCCATTACAACAATCCGATCGACATTGTTGAATGGCACGTTTTCTGTTTAACCACCCTCTACCAGTAAAACTGATTTTAAACATTACAAAAATCCCAAACAAATAGAACCTAAAGATTCCATTTAAAGCTAAAATCCTCACAGTCTACAATGCTTGATTGAATTGTTTTTGCAGACAGGCACTTGCTCCGTAATCCCAATGCCTGCAGTGAAAAGTAGAGTCTGGCTCTGGCCCTGAGGCCTTTCAGCAAGAGCTGTAATGTTCAGCCATGTTTTCATCCCAGTCTAACTCAATGTTACTACACAACTCTCTGCAGCCACTCACAGTGGGTTGGACATGCCAGGTGTGTCAAACAATTACCCATCAGTGTGTTCATACAGTCACTTTCCCTCTGAGTCACTCTTCTGTAGCTGACAGAATTCTCCAACACATCTAAAAACCTTTCACCCAACAATGCTAATGACTAGACTGGACCACTACCTTTGGACTGGTGGCAGCAGAGATTACACCTTCCCCCTCCCCTTTTATTTGTTGACGTGTCCTTTTGGACTTGTGTGGATCAGCTGAGGTGGATCATCTGGGTATGTAGTCATACGGCAGGCCGCTGTAGTTCCTGTCCCTCAGGGCCTGGTCCACTGTGTGGATGTAGGAGTCAATGGTGCTCCTCAACTCCGCTGTGAAGGGGTCGAAGGAGGGCCGCTGGGCCCTGCCAGAGCGTTTGAAGTGACCGTCCTGGTTGCTCTGGGCACACATCAGCCTCTCCTCCGTTATGGTGGCATTGAGGAAGGAGGTGAGGAGGCGGAGATGGGGGAAGAGCGCCCTCTGCAGGTCCTCGTAGTGCACCACCAGCAGGCGACGGCCAAACTGCAACCAGCTCAAAGCGTGGGATGCCCACCAGGGGGCATAGCTGTCAACAAACTCTGGCCACTCTGAAGTAAACAGAGGAGAGAAGAAACCGAGGTATCTGATCAGTGTGTGCTGTGTGGAGACATTGCTGACATCTCACATTCAGTTATGCAGCAATATGGCAGCTGAATATTTGTCATCATTTATGAACATCTGTTTGAAACAGACTTTTGACCAACAGTTGACCAAAACAACATCTCTTTATGTGTTGGTTTTTGCATGCCTTAGTTCGCACATAACCCCCAGTCCATTTCCCAAACCACTGAGCTGTGATTGTTGTGTTACCTTTGCTTCTCCACTGTTTGTCTGTGGCGTAGCCAAGGTGTCCGGCACACTTCCTGTTGAACTCTGCCATCAGGGAACGGTAGGGGTTACGGATCAGGAGGATGGCAGAGTCAAACATCTCGATCTCTCTCTGCCCACTCTCATGGGTCTTCACACAGATGCTGCGCCCACTCTTCCAGTAGTCCTTCTCCCCTTTGAAACCTGGTAGAAAACCCCAGATACACAAGAAGATCAAACCTCCGCAAGCCCATGTGTCACAGAGCACTAAAGGTCAAGATCAAGTTACTGTCATTGCTATTTGTAAGTACTGTACAAGTACATACATTAGAATTTCTCTATGAGAGCCCACGGTTTAGAAAATGGTAGCGCGTGCTTGAAAATGAAACAATGATATATTCCAGGTGAAAAACATAAATCATTCCTAGTATATGTTATTATTATCCATCACAACACCAGAGCTGTGTTCACATTCAGCCTCACCTCTGTTGTAAAGTGTGCCATCGAAGTAGAAGCTGCCAGTGTAGTAGCCTGTCACGAGCTCGATCAGGTGGCGTACCCAGGTGTTGCCAGCTCCAGGGAAGCTGGAGAGAGCCACCAGGGAGGGGGACCTCTCAGGTAGAAACGTCCTCTCTTTGCACCTGGAGTCTGAATGAGGCAGAACAATCAGGGTTGAACAGCGCCATAGACACAGGCCATTGATCTATTTTTGAGCTACTGTAACGAAGCATGCTGTTGCTAAGAGTCTAAATTACAGTTACAGTAAAGTATAAACCTGTATATTTGGCAATATGTTATTTTTATGGTTGAAAAGTTGGACTGTAGTATAAGTGAAACTAAAGGTTATTCAAGACTCTCACCAAGCACAGGTGTCTGGTAGACCTGGTAGTAGTAATGGTCCGACCGGTATGTGGAGATGGGGGCAACGGTGTGTGCTGTGCCGTTGGTCTCCAGACATGGCTGGTCCGGTGGCAGACGTTGGTTCAGTCTAAACAGAGACGAGGCCCAGGCACAGTAACAGTGTGGCTTCCTCAACACAGCCAGTGGGAGCTCCTGCAGTACAAACCGAACCAGGACCATTAAAAAACATCAGAGGCATAACTTCAAGCAGTAACTTACAGTACAAGGAATATGACTGGTCACTCATTCCCCCTCTGGTGGATTGGATGTGATTTCACCCTTGGGTAACACGATGGGTGGGTTATATAAGATGTATGAACCACCCCTGCCCTATTTCCTTTGATTCCTTTTTTTCACAAGTTCAGATGTTTTTTGCACGTTGTCCTAGTTTTTCTATTCAACATAGTATAGCCCCCACCACCACCACACTATATGGAATTACAATTTCTATAGAGACTGACTGAAGATGGGTATTGTGTTATATGCTGATACAGTGCTCTTTGTTTATTGACACTGGTAGTTACACAAATGTAAAAACACACACACACACACACACACAGTGAATAAGCTAAATCAAATACACTATTATCATTACATAGACAAGGCAGTGATATTTATCCTAGCCATTTGTGTGTAGAGCAGAGCAGAGCACCCTACTGATGCACCCAGACAGTATGAAGGACTGATTCCAGCGCCTATCTATTTCTCATTAGAGGTACGTTTAACCTTAAACAGTCAAATGGTGTTCCAGTAGCTCCATCACACAGAGCCATGCCATTCTAATCTACCATCTGAGGGGAGCAGAGACAGAGACCGAGACAGCCCATGATCGATGATACCTCACCGCTGGGTCTGTGTGAGGAAGACTGGGGTCTGGGCTGGTGGTGAAGATTAAATAAATGGTTCAGTGGTTTTCTGGGTTTCTTCCTGGGAACAGAATCAAACCTTATCTGTGCAGGTCTCGATGCAGGACTGTGACGTGGAGTTTGACTGGAGGGAGTAGACGAGGAAGGCGTTGGTGGAGTTTTTTGGCAACTTGAAGCAGCCACAGTAGTGGACGTTTCTGACTGTAAAACAGAGGTATGCAGACATCAAGCCACAGCTTATAAACATAGCTAAATGCATTTAATGTATTTTCTCTTTATAAACTGTAATGTTGATCAATGCAAATTATCTACAAGCATATTAGTCACTGCCAAGCTTAAAGGAAACGTTGCCCATAGAAATCTACCTATTATCTACTTACCCTAGATGGGAAATGACTCCCCTGCATAGTGGCTATGGCTCATATAGTGTATGCATTAGTATAGCACTAGTTTCTCATGACACTGTTGGCCAGCACACACGAGAAGTGCTTCTGGGTTCAGAGATTAGTCAAGCACATTACAGCCGCTCAGTTAGACAGTGCTCTATCCAGGTTGCGTGTACTTACATTTCCTCTGTCCTGGGAGCTGTTCCTCCACCTTGTAGATGGAGAGGCGCCCCACTCCCCCACAGGGGGCTCCCCTCTCGCCCCTCTCCCCCCTGCATCCCAGACTACAGTCCTCCTCCTGGGCCCGTGGGCTACTGATGCGGTTACCACAGTGACACTCTGCTCCGTACTCCAGACCTGCGAACCGGTAACCACTGCAGAGAGAGGGAGACACACACCCCTCACCTCAGTGCCTTAGCCCAGAGCTAGCTTTAATCACAGGCTATCATTAGCCTTGGGCTACCTTGTTCCATAGGACACCAGACTGCATAACCCCAGGCCAGCGTGTGAATAAATACTAAACATTTTAATTGAATCAGTCAGGGCAGGCAGCAGTGAAGCCCAGCGTTCATTTCTCTGTGGTGCTGGCTGGTAACAGTTTTCACTGTTGACTAGATCACAGTAAAAGCTCTGGGTGGATGATGGGGGTCCTTTATCCCAAGGGCGATATGAGTCATCCTCCTTTAAGTCTCTTTATCCTCTCTCCTTGGAAAGAGAGGAGCTATCCAAAATGACCTTTTAGCATTTGCTTTGAGCCCTGCCATAAACAGGCTTATGATTCTGGCTGAATATCCTCCCAGCAGTCCACATGGTCTGATTATGTTTGCATTGGCAATTTGTTTTCGTGGCAATCATTTCCTGTGTCTAGACATACTGTGAAATAAGGCCCAGCTAAATGTTTTGTCATAAATTGATTTATTCAGTTTTGTCATGAATTTAAATTATTACTAACACCCCCCTAATACCCACTATATCTCATTCTGCATCTCTAACACAGATCTGGCCTTCCACTTCACACGCACGCACACGCACACACACACCACCACCATCCTGCCACCTGGCTCCCCATTGAAACACAGGACCTATTCATCCCTGCGACTGAGACAGAATAATTAACCAAATAGCAGCAGCTCGCCATGGTTCCTCTAGACTCATTACCTTTCCGAGCAGGTGTCTTGACACAAAGAGCTGGTCATTTTGCGCAGATCATACAGCACAGTTCCCCCCAGGGCTCGTTCATTGGCATCATGCATGAAGCAGCCCATGTAGGTCCCTTGCCATGTCAAAACAAAACAGTTAATGAAAAGCCATATTACAAATCCATTCGTACAACAATATACAATAGTCATTGTTTAGTACAACACACTATTGAGCAGTGGTAACACAGGTTTGCAGCATATTTGAGCCTGTCAGTCCTGTCATTGAGCCTGTAACAAATACTATTTCAACCCAGGTCTGGTATGTAGTCAACAGTTAAACTACAGCCACGTTGGCGTTCAAAGTAAATGATGTTGCATTAGGTAGGTGGTACCTTTGTGCCTGTTATTGCTTTGTAGAGGACCTCTCTGCTCCTGCATGTCTGGCACGAGACCGTGGAACCAGCGGTGGTGCAGGTGTTGGACCCCCAGGTTTCGGGACGTGGGCCAGTGTCGCCCCGTCTTGATGCTCCCTCCACCACCCGACACACCATGGGTGGCTGCCCATCTGGAGCGTGCCCTCAGGCCCTGGCCGGGGTAGGCCCTCACGGCTGTGGGAGGTGCTGGCAGTGCCATGAGAGAAGGGAGGCTGGCGCCGCCTGGTGGCTGGGCGGTCTTTAGGGCCAGGCTGGAGCGCTGCAGCAGCAGGATGCTCCCCGCCATCAGGTAGGCGATCCCCAGGAAGAGGAGGAGTATCTGAGCTCGCCGCAGGAAGCAACGCAGCCTGTAGAGGGGCGTGGCCATCCCCACTGTCCAGCTTGGTGGCTCTTTGACCCTTAGTGAGCCACCATTCCAGAGAGAGGGGTGAGGGTTAAAACCTCATTATAACCTTCCCAAGGCCCCATCAGTCCAGTCACACAGTAGGTAGGCTACCTGGCTGCAGCCTCAGATGGTTAATGACTCTCCACGGTTCATAGCCATGCCTTTGGACTGGAGACCAAAAGGACCACTGTGTAATCAGGTCCCTCAGATGTGTGACAGCAGCGCCAGACTTTACAGTAATCTCCAAGGGAACAGAACAGCCAGCAAGCCCTGGAAGCCAGTAGTTTCTTGGAAAAACCTAGGGCATCAAAATAGAAGCAAGCAAGTCAGATTTAAATTGGCAGAACATATTTTTCTGTGTATATAACCTCTGTAGTATATACGAGGGAAACATATATAGCTCGGGGGATTAGATCCACAGTTCATGTTGACTTATAGGATCTAACCAGAAACCGTGGCTAGACGGCAGCATTCGCGAAAAACCGAAAGCACGAACCACCGCATTTAACCATGGCAAGGTGACAGGGAATATGGCAGAATACAAACAAGACAATCAAACAGGCAAAACGTCAATATCGAGACAAAGTGGAGTCGCAATTCAACGGCTCAGACACGAGACGTATGTGGCAGGGTTTACAGACAATCATGGACTACAAAATGAAAACCGGCCACGTCGCAGACACCGACGTCTTGCTGCCAGACAAGCTAAACACCTTCTTCTCCCGCTTTGAGGATAATACAGTGCCACCGACGCGGCCAGCTACCAAGGACTGTGGGCTCTCCTTTTCGGTGGCCGACGTGAGTAAGACATTTAAGCATGTTAACCCCCGCAAGGCTGCCGGCCCAGACGGCATTCCTAGCCGCGTCCTCAGAGCATGCGCAGACCAGCTGTCTGTGTGTGTTTACGGACATATTCAATCTCTCCCTATCCCAGTCTGTTGTCCCCACATGCTTCAAGATGGCCACCATTGTTCCTGTACCCAAGAATGCAAAGGTAACTGAACTAAATGACTATCGCCCCGTAGCACTCACTTCTGTCATCATGAAGTGCTTTGAGAGACTAGTCAAGGATCATATCACTGCCACCTTACCTGTCACCCTAGACCCACTTCAATTTGCATACCGCCCCAATAGGTCCACAGACGATGTAATCGCCATCACACTGCACACTGCCCTATCCCATCTGGACAAGAGGAATACCTATGTAAGAATGCTGTTCATTGACTATAGCTCAGCATTCAACACCATAGTACCCTCCACACCATAGTACCCTCCAAGCTCATCATCAAGCTTGAGGCCCTGGGTCTCAACCCCACCCTGTGCAATTGGGTCCTGGACTTCCTGACGGGCCGCCCCCAGGTGGTGAAGGTAGGAAACAACATCTCCACTTCGCTGATCCTCAACACTGGGGCCCCACAAGGGTGTGTGCTCAGCCCCCTCCTGTAATCCCTGTTCACCCATGACTGCATAGACATGCACGCCTCCCACTCAATCATCAAGTTTGCAGACGACACAACAGTAGTAGGCTTGATTACCAACAACAATGAGACAGCCTAAAGGGAGGAGGTGAGGGCTCTCGGAGTGTGGTGTCAGGAAAATAACCTCTCACTCAACGTCAAAAAAACAAAGGAGATGATCGTGGACTTCAGGAAGCAGCAGAGGGAGTACCCCCCATCCACAGACGGGACAGCAGTGGAGAAGGTGGAAAGTTTTAAGTTCCTCTGCGTACTTATCACAGACAAACTGAAATGGTCCACCCACACAGACAGTGTGGTGAAGAAGGCGCAAAAGCGTATTTTCAACCTCAGGAGGCTGAAGAAATTTCGCCTGTCACCTAAAATCCTCACAAACGTTTACAGATGCACAATTGAGAGCATCCTGTCGGGCTGTATCACCGCCTGGTACGGCAACTGCACATCCCACAACCGCAGGGCTCTCCAGAGGGTGCACAACGCATCACCGGGGGCAAACTACCTGCCCTTCAGGTCACCTACAGCACCCGATGTCACAGGAAGGCCAAAAAGATAATCAAGGACAACAACGCTCCGAGCCACTGCCTGTTCACTCCGCTATCATCCAGAAGGCCAGGTCGGTACAGGTGCATCAAAGCTGGGACCGAGAGACTGAAAAACAGCTTCTATCTCAAGGCCATCAGACTGTTAAACAGCCATCACTAGAACAGAGAGGCTGCTACCTACATACAGACTTGAAAATCACTGGTCACTTTAAATGGAACACTAGTCACTTTAATAATGCCACTTTAATGTTTACATATCTTACATTACCCATCTCATATGTATATACTGTATTCTATACTATCTTAATAATGTTTACATATCTTGCATTACCCATCTCATATGTACAGTGCTATGAAAAAGTATTTGCCCCCTTTCTAATTTTCTCTACTTTTGCATATTTGTGATACTGAATGTTATCAGATCTTCAACCAAAACCTAATATTAGATAAAGGGAACATAAGTGAACAAATAACACAACAATTACATATTTATTTCATTTATTTCATAAACAAAGTTATGCAACACCCAATTCCCCTGTGTGAAAAAGTAATTGCCCCCTTACACTCAATAACTGGTTGTGCCACCTTTAGCTGCAATGACTCCAACCAAATGCTTCCTGTAGTTGTTGATCAGTCTCTCATGTCGCTGTGGAGGAATTTTGGCCGACTCTTCCATGCAGAACTGCTTTAACTCAGTGACGTGTGGGTTTTCAAGCATGAACTGCTCGTTTCAAGTCCTGCCACAACATCTCAATTGGGATTAGGTCTGGACTTTGACTAGGCCATTCCAAAACTTCCAATTTGTTGCTTTTTAGCAATTTTCATGTAGACTTCATTGTGTGTTTTGGATCATTGTCTTGTTGTATGACCCAGCTGCGCTTCAGCTTCAGCTCACAGACGGATGGTCTGACATTCTCCTGTAGAATTCTCTGATACAGAGCAGAATTCATGGTTCCTTCTATTAAGGCAAGTCGTCCAGGTCCTGAGGCAGCAAAGCATCCCCAAACCATCACACCACCACCACCATGCTTGACCTTTGGTATGATGTTCTTACTGTGGAATGCAGAGTTTGGTTTTCCCCAGGCATAATAACCTATCTCGTCCAAAATGTTGACTCAATTTAGCCAAAAAGCACCTGGATGATCATCAAGACTCTTGGAAGAACGTTCTATGGACAAATGATTCAAAAGTATAACTTTTTGGACAACATGGTTCCAGTAATGTCTGGCGAAAACCAAACTCTTCATTCCACAGTAAGAACATCATACCAAAGGTCAAGCATGGTGGTGGTGGTGTGATGGTTTGAGGATGCTTTGCTGCCTCAGGACCTGGACGACTTGCCTTGTGTTTCTGTTCAAAAGCACTGCGCATTAAGTAATTTCCCTTGCTATGTTGTTGTTTGTCTTTCCTCTAAACCTGGTGTGATACTATATCTGGTGTTTATTTATTTTTTATTTTTTTTCGGGGGGAATGGATCAGCTTAATATTGCAGATAGATTGTATCTTCTATCAATGTAATTGTCTGCATCACTTCCAATCCCCCATGTTTTTTGTTTTTTTTATATATATATATATATATATATATTCCCCTTTATTACTTTTCAACCCCACCATCCTTTCCCTACTTGGAGTAAATTAGTGAACAACAACGCCCAGGCCTCTACTTCCGGTCTATACTTACTATCTACACCTTATGGACAGAGTTAATTTTACAATAATTTTACAATAATTTTACAATAATTCTATATATATATATATATATATATATATATATATATATTTATTTATTTTTTTGCTCCTGAACTTCTTCTACTCTCAACCTCTCCGATCATTTTCATGATGTCTTCCGGTTAGCTACAGCACATCCTTAGTTTCTCTGCGTTTCGCTTGTCTTTGCTTAGGAAATGTCCACCATTCTGCCTCAATTAGGCTACACTGGCAGCATCACAGCACCATCTGTATTATATTGTTGTTGTTTCCCTGACTTTAATCAGTGTGTTGATACGTTTGTAAAGCTCCACACTGACCTGTGTTTGTGATTGGGCTTTGTGAACCATATTTTGATGATCTGTACCATAACAAACCAATTACGTCCAATCGGCAACTCAGATCGAGACATGGGAATTAGTGCTCTTCAATAGCATTTTCAATTGGATTTGTGACCCATTTTAACATAGCAGTGCTATCAGATAACATTTTAGAACTGCACTGTTAATATCTGCGTGCTGCCTCAAAATCTAAATAAAGTCCCTACTAGATTATTTCACTAGATACACTGTTACCACAGTGAGAAATTATGACTTGTGATAAAATTGTCTTGAGGAGGGCATATTTATGGTTGGATCCAAAGAAACAGGATTATCAAAGTACACTTGTGGCCTATCTTTACTGTCATATCTTTAAGATGGATAAATCAATGGCTTTACATGAGTAATGATCTGATGTGTTTTATTTTTTTCCAAGATCCCTGAGCCTTTTGCTCCCCCACCTACACAGATGTAACTCTACAATGGAGATTGGAAAATAATGGTGTGCAGGAAGGTGTTCAAAATATTCAGAAACCTTTCAAAGGTGTTGGCCTTGAACGAAACTCTCTTTAGTATTTTGGTCATGTATAGCAGTGAGTCAAGTGCTTAGCTGTGACCTGCAACACTCAAAGAGAGCATAGGCTACATACAATCCAGCTTATTATTTTTGATTGTGTTTGTGAACAACACTTTGGACAAGTTCTCTCTCTAATTGGTCCTCTGTAGCTCAATTGGTAGAGCATGGCGCTTGTAACGCCAGGGTAGTGGGTTTGATCCCCAGGACCACCCATACGTAATAATGTATGCACACATGACTGTAAGTCGCTTTGGATAAAAGCGTCTGCTAAATGGCATATTATATTATTATAATAATTCTGTAATAGTAGGGTAGTGGAGAAATGCCAGGTAGTGCATGACAGGCAAGAGATGAAAGCCACTAACAGGAGAGGTTTCACTGTCCCACTGGGCACAGATATCAGTTCAATGTCTAGTTTTGATTTACATTTGGTTGTTTTCAACTAACGTGAACTCAACGTGAAATCAACAAAAAAGTTCACCATGTCATTGGATTTAGGTTAAAAGTTGGATGAAAAAACTATTAAATGCCCTTAAACTGATGACTTTCCACGTTGATTCAACGTCATCACATTGATTGTTTTTGACTGAAATAACGTGGAAACAATGTTGATTCAACCAGTTTTTGCCCAGTGGGATGCTATCATCACTAGACCGTCTGCACAAAGACAGCAGCCAGACCATAATGTAATATTACGGAATTATGGCCATGACGCTTCCTTTTACGACTTTTTTGCCACTAATTCCAATTGTATGACTTTTCTACTGTTCCGACCTTATCAGGCTACCTCTTCTTGGGGATCTTGTTCATAATACTAGGCTACCAGACAAGAGAAGCAACAGTTTGCACATACACTATGCTCCCACCACAGAGCACATAATTTGTTTATAGTCTTTCGGGAACGGCTAACTTCTCTAACTCTGGTCAACATTTCTAATGATTTCTATAAGTAGCCTATAGAGTAGGCACATTTTCGAAAATAATGCCCGTTGTCAAAAATAAACTATGATTTTTGTCCGCGTAAATCTAACTGTGTAATGTATTTGGCATTATGACATTTATGAACCAATGGAGGATCAAAACAAGTTGCAAAGCGCACATTTACTCACCAATGCGTAATCAGAGTTATAAAATACAAATCTGAATACCGTTTAGCCTACCTTGGATGTCGGACCGTTCGGAACTGCGTGTTACCATACAGAATGCTATCAGATTCAGGGTCGAATCTCCCACGTACTCTGAGATCTAAAACATTCTCTCCTATCTTATATCCCAAACCAGTGAAGCCGCGTTTGTATTGTCACATTTAAGAATCGTCTCTCTGCTCCTCGTCTTTCTCCACTCTATCTCCCTCTCCCTGGCAGAGCAGATTGTTACAAAACGAGATGGCAGGGAGTGAGGGAGCATACACATTTGCATTGGCGATCCCCGACGCGTCACGAGTCCGCCGTCCTTGTTTATGCGAGACGTGTCCCCCAGTGGCCATGAACCACTATGGTATGTTGTGATCCCTTGGCTAACTGTTACTGTAGAAAGCTGCGTGCATGTTGCCAGTGTCAACACATGTATAACGTTCTAACCATTTAAGGGTTACTGTGCTGCCCACCTGCTGTCCATTCTGACATTGAACATTGACCATTCAGCCCTTGTGTTCATTCATTAGAAGCCTCTCCATCATCCGTGCAGAGAACGTAGCCTACATCAAATTAGGAGAGGTGAACGTCTAAACCTGTAGTTGTAGAATTTTAAACAAGATATCAGCGCCACGGACAGCGCCAATTCTGACGGTTACTTCCAGTGTATGATTTTCTTTCTTTCAGACCAAAACGATTGTACTGATTGAACTTACTCAGAAATTGTATGGTAAAATGTAACTACATAGCTAATAATAACATTTATTTTGTCAGGAATTATTAAAACAAGCACTGCCGGTAGCGTAGGCCACAAGTAGGCCTAGCCTAGTTAGCAGTTGTGTTGTCCATGAGGTATTTTAATATATTACGATGAATATTAATCTATTAATATTAATTAATAATAATTAATAATTAATTACATTTCTATAGAGCTTTTCATATAATCAAAGAGCTTCAAGAGCAAAAAACAAACAAGCAATATATCATGACGAAAACAAACAAGCAATATATCATGACAGGTCAACCAATGGAGGCCAAGTACTTGAAAGCTGTATCCCACGAAGATTGAGAGGGTCAGTTCATGGCTTGAGTGGAGAGAGCTGGTCAGAGGATGGTAGATGATGGTGATTAAGTCTACTGATTATCTTGTAGAGGGCAAGTCTGGGAACCAGCCTGACTCTTATAGCCACCAGACTTATCCTCTTCCACTCTGTATAGCACCCACGTGATGCCTCAGCTCTGCTGGGTGCCAGAAAGCTCACCACACAAAGTTCAGAATAGTTAGCCCGTTGTCCTCACTCAGCACTGCAGTATTCCTCTATCTCCCATTCCTCTCAAGCTTCAGACTCCTCAAATAATGTAGATCAGGAATTGGCATCCAGGTGAAACAAAAAGCTGGTATTGTGTCCTCCAGATGCATTTTTCAAGCAAATACATTAGCCAGCTATCTAGCTAGCCAGCCAAGCCAAAAAGTGTTAACCTGTCAGTCAATATGCAAATCCGTGGCTCAAAAACACCAGATATATGCAATAAAAACAATGTTATCAAAAACAAAAGAGCTGATTTAAAAATCAACAATTAAAAACACCAAAAAAAGAACTAAATATATACACATTTACAGGAGCTATGTGCTTAGGCTGCTACTAGGGCGCCATGGCAACTGTCTATATTGTAACACATACTAGACTTGTTCTGATATATTTTTTATGACCAACATGTAATTGCTGACCAGGAATTTGAGCTGTTAGATCAACTGGTGGGTTAGCGGGGCACCTGCAACTCGCAACACTTTGTAGTTAGCCTCACATTGATTAAGTCTTCTTCAACTGATTAAAACATCCAACTGACTATTCAAGTAAGATATTTTACACTAATATTCATGGTATTAATATATGGAATATGAGGAAATTACATATGCATCTGGGGCAGCAATGCAGAAGGTCTTCTCTTCCTGGCAGATGTCTGAACTGTGGATCAAGCAGCCAGTGCACCCTGCCTGTCAAGACTCAAACAGAATTCTCTATGAGAATGTGAGCCCACATTCAAGGCCCCATTATGTGTAATAGACATACAACCCTTCAATGATTCTGCCATCTCTATTTCCGCCCTTCTCTTGCCTACATGTTTTGCTAAGAGCCCCCATTTACAATCCACTTCCAGCTTGCAATCTATTCCTTTCATTCTGCGGTATGGAAGTGAACTGTGGTGAACCTGACTACCTGAGATGAGATGAAAGGGGGTAATTGCTGCAAGGTGATTCAAATAAACTGATGATTAGTCAGAAAGAATCTAGCTTCCAGCTGTGGGTCTGTGGGTCTGTTTCTCTGGCTGCAAGCATGTTTCCATGCAGGTGAGGTGACTTGTTTTCAAAAACGTCTATATTTCCATTGAGAGCACAGAACATTGCATGTAAATGCCTTGAAAAGGAAAGCCATTTCAGGACATACAACATGTAATTGTAAGGGTGCCGACCCCCCAACTTACAAGCCTGCCCACGCATACATGCACGCATGTAAGCATCCACGTAGACACATACACACACACACAAACATACACAAATCTCTGTTTTTCTTCTTCTCCGTAGGTGGTTAATTGGGCTCTGACAATTAAAAGAAACATCTGGGACTATAGATTGGTTATCACCTCTGTTGGCTGTGTTCTATACCCTTGGAAAGAAATGGCTAAATTTCTTGCTCCTCTTCCAACTCTTTGTGGAGACATCTGCCTCATTTCTCTGTTTTACCACTAATCCTGACAATAGTTTTTCTACCCTATTAAACTGGGATCTGTCCAACTACAAAGGGAACAAGCAGCTTGTCCAAGCACAAAGGTTTGGGATTCTAATAGTGTCTCTCTACAACTCTCACCACCATTTGGATCCACTGGTTCATAGCAGGATACAGGCAATGTTATACTATAGGTCTGTATGCTCACTGCCAAATGTCCACAATTCAGTACATGGTGACCTGTCCATTTAATAGCTTGGCTACACCACATCAATAGTCATCAGTGTTGGATACTCTGTGTTGACCTTGGCTGTAAAAGCTAATTCTAATGAAAGCAGACAGTGAATGAGGGACCTTTTTACTGGCCTGATGTCCAGAGTATCGACTCAGCCTCCCAGACACTGTAAATCAAGCAGTGCTATTCACTAAGGCTTCAATAGAAAGCTCTTTGTTTAGATGGATTGCAAGCTCCCGATGATGCTGCTGGTTTAAACTGGACTGTTGTGTTTCATAGTAGCTGATCAATGAATTTGTCACATTGCTACAAGTGTTTGCAATGAGATATGATCAACTGTAAACAGTGGAAAACCATTCAAGATTTTGCTTTACGGCTCAAATGAAAGCCACAGGTTGGCCACATGAAAGCCAGCAGTGGGTGCCACAGTGTCTGTAGACTATTGCCCTCTACAGATCCATCTCTAACCCTGATCTGAAGGGTCCAACTAAACTGGCCTGGAATCAAAACCCTGATCAGTGAAATTAGATGAGTTTACTTTAATTCTCTTTGTGAGGATCGATCAGCACAGGGGGCATTGTTGTCTCGTGTGGATCTCATGGGCAGACAGTGGTAGTGTCAACTGCCAACCATGGTCCATCTCGGAGCTCGTCGTTGTGAGTAATCCTATTATTGCTTTGCCCAAGGTCACAGAACAATCAAGAGATTGATTATGAGCAATCCTCCATCTCTCCACCTCTGCCTTTGGGGGATAAACTGGATTAAAGCACTCAGATGACTGTGGAGTTAAGGCTTTAGGGATAGCAGCGAACACAATCAGTATGTCTCTACATGCCTTTTCTGCTTCAATCATCCACAAGTAATCACTGGAAGAAATGGAACTCCCCTGCATTCCAAAGCTGATAGAAAACAGCTAGAGATGCAATCCTCATAATCTGTGAGACAAAGAGTTGCTGCATTGGCCTTCTCACATGTTCCTTCAGCTTCATTCCGTGTCACTATTGGTGTTTACAATGGATTACTATTCAGTCCATAATCAGGCATTTGAAAATGTCTTTCTTTCCTCTTCTCTATCCATTTCTCTCTCTCCCTCTCTCTTTTTTTTCTCTCTCTCTCTCTCCCTTCTTTCCTCTCTCCCTCCTCTATCACTCGGTCTCTCTCTCTCGTCCTCCCTCCTCTATCCCTCTCTCCCTCTCTCTTCCATCCATCCTTCTCTCTCCCTCTTTCAGCTCTTCAGAGCAGGAACAATAGCCCCAAGTGTTTACACTTAACACTGCATTACTTATACATGAAGAAGATCCTCTTCATTCGTCTTTGGGACTCCCGCAGCGCGTGGCATTCTCAGTTGTCTGTAAAACTCTCATTCTATGTCTTCTCTCTTCATCTTCTCTTCATGGCTAGAGTCAGAGCCGATGCCTGGCTTTTACTCAGGGCTGAGTCCAAGAGCCGCTGGGAAAATAGCCAGGGCTGAGTGGAATTGAAATGGACAGATGATAGACCTGGCCCTCATATTTGGCCACTTTATTATTTCCCGGTGTGTGCGTGGAGGAGCTTTCAAGCAGCCCATTAGATTTTCTGTCCATCTGAGCCTTAACATGTCCATTGAAACATGTTTGTCTCATTATACCCTGTGTTTTCAGTTGTTTATCTAATTGGTAACCCACTGGGCACACACTGGTTGAATCAACAGTGTTTACACGTCATTTTAATGGTATCACGTTGAACCAACGTGGAATAGACTTTGAATTGACGTCTGTGCCCAGTGGGATGTTGTTGGTGTGTACCGAAAGACCTTTGTAGATTATTGTAGATGTTATTCAATTGAGCGGCAGAAACTGGTATTTGAATTCCATTATAATTCAACAGTAGATTAATTAGAACAAAAAACCTGTCAATGAGAGACATTTGTAAGGTGAGGTGAGGACATCTTAACGTCTCCCTTGCTGAGCTAATGAGGAAGAAGAATGTAAAATCTGGCATCCCATAATATCCATGGTGGCTAATTAGAGATCTTGTGGCTGGTTTATGATCACAGCGCAGAGGGTAAACTGTAACTCCCCCGGCCACACACGTGCGCACCATTTTCACAGCTCTAATAGGCTTAGTTCAATAATGAATGGGCTCAAATGAATGGTAAGGTACTCAAGGGTGAATGTGTTTCATTTTCTAATTAAGACATTTATGTCAACAGGGAGAGAATGCTGTCTGCATACATGGGGGGAAACACTTTGCTAACATTAGCCAAATCAGATGGCAGAGAGGCTAAAACATGAGGGACGGTATGCCAATTACAGTCAATGGGAAGGATTAGATCACATTGAGCTTTATCTGAAT